AGTGGCAAGCCGGGACTCGCCCCCCACCCGGCCACCCGCCCGCCAGTCCCCTCTGGGCAATGAAGGGAACCGCTAGGGCGAGCTCAGCGGGGGAAGGGGGTGCTGGACTACGATGTTAAGAGGAAGAAAAGCCCGGGAAGCTCATCTTTCGAGAGGAAAAAAAGTTTGGATTCAACCTCGGAACACGGAGGGAGTGCCCCCACTGAGGAGAGAGATGCCTCTCCAGATGAAAAGCATTTCTTGTTTCTTCGTCTACGGATCAGGGGAAGGCGTTTTGTACATTTAATAGCTCTTAATTACCCATTCAAGCCCTAACCACTTTGAAATGCTTTGCTTTGTGAAGCGCAGGGCTTCCCACTCAAATGAATACCCGTCTACCTATCTATTATTTGATTTGATTTGTATCCCGCCCATCTTGTCTATACGACCACTCTATATGCTGTATTCAATATTTGCACATTTCATTTATGCCCTGCCTTTCTCCCACTGCAAGGACCCAAGGTGACTTACAAAGTGAATTTAAAAAACAACACAGAAAACGTAATGTAATATTAAAACACATATTGTAAAATGTAATATTAAGCGTATCAAAATATTAAATTATTGCTCTTAATAGGGCTATCGAGTCACTCCTGATTTAACCTTGGCCCTATACATTAGTGATTTCCAAAAAGCAGGTCTTGCAAACTGAAGGCCACACCTTATTCCTTCTCATAGGTGGGGAAGGAACTGGGCAAGAAAGATACAAGTAAATTAAAATGTTCTATATATGTATTCACCTTTTTCTTTTATAAGTTTGATACTGCACACTTCAAGTGCTGGGTCCTCTTTTTATCTTCCTAACTACAGTACTTAGTACATTGCGCTGACTGAAAGGTTAGGTTAGGATGATTGGGCAGCTTTGTGGGTGAGGGACAATAGGAATCCAGCCAAAGCACTCATCCTACAGACATTTTCCTCAGGCATCTTCATTAACAGCAGTTGGCCTAGTTCCAATGATCCACGTTTTACAGCTGGAGGTGGATGCTTGCGGGAAATCTGCTAATCGATCTGATGAGTTTCGTTTAGAGACTTATCACTCTCCATACCCCTCCAACAGTACACCAGTTCTACCTCGATGATGACTGGGAAAGCTCAGGTTCTGTGGCACTGAAGGCATTTCCATTTTAAACATGGTGAAATACAAGGCAACAAAGCAATAATAGACTAACATGACTTGTGAAATCACAGCTCTTTGCAGTGGGTAGAAAGCTCATTTTCTTCAGGCATTTTATCTGTTAGTGTGGGGAGAGAACACACAAGGAGCTACATGGCTATGCTCCATTGAGCTACAACACCACAGCGCAACCCTTGCACTTACCCACAATTCAGCATTTGACTGACCTTTGAACATTGGTTGAAGGTAATACTACACATCTCTCTCTATTGCCCAGACTCTGCCATGAGTGGAGAAGTGAGGGACAGAGGGGTGAGCAAAGGGCAAAATGACTAATAATTGATTTTTACAAATCCAAATAACCCTATATTACATAACTGTGGTTAACAATTCAAGGTAATATAAAATCACTAAAGTAGAAGAGTTGAGCAGTTTTTGAAGTTGAAACTGAACAGAGAGGCAGGACGAGTCATACAGTCAAGTTTCCTGGTATATTTTCCTTGATTGAAACAAACTGTTTTCATTCTCAGCACAACCGCCCAAGGTAGACATGTTCCAGATGGGCGGTCTATAAGTCAAACAAACAAACAAATTTTTTATTTTATTTTTAGAAACTCTAAATGTCAGAGTTTCTTTTCTTGGCAAATCTGTATGTATGGGATTCTACTGCAGGCGCATCATTATGAAACTACTCCATGGAGTATTGAGATATTGAGTACCAGTGCTAATGGGTTCCTGGTATATTTTCCTTGATTGAAACACTCTGTTTTCATTCTCAGCCCAGGGTAGACATGTTCCAGATGGGCGGTCTAAAAATCAATCAAACAAACAAACAAACAAACAAACATTTATTTTATTTTATTTTTATAAACTCTAAATGTCAGAGTTTCTTTTCTTGGCAAATCTGTATGTCTGCTCCAAGTTATTTAGTAGGAAATTTGAGTATGGGATTCTATTGCAGGCGCATCATTATGAAACTACTCCATGGAGTATTGAGATATTGAGTACCAGTGCTAATGGGAAGCATCAGCAGGCTTGGGGGGGGACATTTCAAGGTTTACCTTAGTTTAAAAATATGTGTTAGAACCAAACCCTAAGGTGAGAAGAAGCCAACCCAGGAAGGATAGAGCATGCTGAGTAGTGATATACCACTGTGGGTGGGTGAGGAATGGATGGGTTGAAGAGTGAAATGGAATGGAGCATTATAGAAACAGTGAACAGAACCATCCCATGTTATTATGGGGCGATTCAATCACTCAATTGATTCAAGTGAACTTTGAATAAATGGAACTTGTGGAAGGATTGACTCCCAAATCCCCATTGATTCAATGAGTTTACGCTAGTGCAACTTACTATACTAAGACTTTGGTCCTATCTGGACTATTCATAGCAACTGAGAGGTAAATGCAAGACACTTCCCACAAGGGTTAAACATTATGGATTACATGGAAAAATGCCTCAAAATTTGGGCTTAATTTTGACTGATCTGTATGTAGAATGTCTCCCTGTTGTTTGCATCAGGCCTTCTAATCTCTGCTCATATTTTATTATCATCAGATGTATCGACAGTTACCTCACAATAATTTTCAAGATAGATAGCAAGTACTGAGGTAACCTGCACTAAATGCGTATTGGATTCAGCTGATAACTTTTCAAAACAGGATTAGGCCACATCATTTGGCTGTTCATGTTTAAGCTTGCCTATTTGCTTTTAGCAGAATGATTTCTAAATGCAGTGGTGCCTCACTTGACGAAATTAATTCGTTCCAGCGAAATTGCTGTAGAGCGAAAACATCATCAAACGAAATAAAAAAACCCATTGAAACGCATTTAAAAAACCAGTTAATGTGTTCCAATGGGCAAAATACCTAATCATCCAGCGAAGTTCCTCCGTACGGCGGCCATTTTCGGGTGCCTGTCTTGCGAAAAATGGCTCCTAAAAACAGCGGGCAGCCATTTTGAGCAGCCGGCGGCCATTTTGAAAAACCGACGATCAGCTGTTTTGATTGTTGTAATGTGAAGAATCGATTCCTGAAGCGGGGAATCGATCGTCGCAAAGCGAAAAAACCCAATTAAAACATCGTTTTGCGATCGCAAAAAAATCGTGAAGCGGATTTGTCATAATATGGGGCAATCTTTAAGCAGGGCACAACTGTGCATCATTTTAATTTTACTATCTATTAACCTACAGGCAGTTCGATCACTAAATATATTGTTGTTACAAGACATAGTAAAATCTTACCCAAGGCCCCTTCTTCCCCAGTACATTTGCAGAATGATTCAAAGTGTCAGGTATCAGCCATCAAGTCCCCAAGAGTTTGGGACTGGGTTATCTGAAGTACCTCCTGTCCTTAGACTGAATGTGCTCTTGTACTACATTCAACATCATTTGAGTCCCAAGGACCTCTTGGCTTTGCCTAGAAAAGGCACAAGAGCAGGCCTTCCTTGTAGCAGCACCCAGACAGTGCAACTCTCACCTCCATTAGATTTAACTGGCCTTCTGTCTGGGTTTCAAAAGTTTTGGCTGACAGATACTACATTACCAAACCTCAACATGGAACATTCCCTGTTGTGTTTGCATGCAGATAATTCTATGCACAAAATAACACAAGCCAGAATCACTGCATGAGATTCCACTATAGAAATTTCAAGGGTTCTTCAGGGGTTAACTACAACAAATACTCCTAACAAACAAAATGTTGATTTCACCATCTTCCCACAAGTATTACGCCCTCCAAAAGATCACAAGAAGAAAGGCATGGTTAGCAATTTCATAATTTAATGAAAAATGCATTGTAAAAAGCAGACGTCTAAAAAAAGACAGTCCATTTTTGAAAAATTGAATATATATATTTAATACAAAGCAAAACAAGAAAACAAATTAGGTTAAGAGGTAATACTTCAAAGTTAGCCACTGAACACACTGAAAAAACTAGCAAATATACTTTTGGAAATAGATACTTGAAAGTTATGTAGCCAAAGGCACCTTCACGTACCCATTAAAATCATGTAGAACAAAAAGACACTATTGCCTGAACTGATAAATCACGGTTAAATTAGCAAAACTCTGTGATCTTGCTGAAGCACCATTTCCCACTTTTTAAATGGGTATGAAACTTGATTGTATTTTTCTCCCCTGGCCACTGAAGTCATTGTTCCCAAGTTCAGCTGCATTACTTCATGACCAGGAAGAAGTGTTAATAATAAATATATGTTTATATATATATATAAACTAGATCCAATGTATAGAGAAGTGAACATTATCAGCACCATTCTGAATGGCTCACAACTTAAAAGGCCAACAATTTTTCAACAAACACACAAACTTTTTAAAAAGGCTAATGCACATTTACATGAAAGGTCTTGAAAATAAATCTCTGTTGAGAAAGACAAAAACTGCAAAAACATACAAATAAGAATAAACAATGCAAAGCTTTAAAATGCCTAAATCAAAGTATGTAGAATAGACAAAATGTTTTAATATATTTCAGGAATTTTTCATCCAGAACTTATTCTTTCTACATAGATGCAATAGTGTTAAGGCTTTCAAGGAAAATATGGATTTCATTTCTTTTTATTTTGTTTTGCTACAAATTATCTACTAAATTTCAAGTTTACCCCAATCACTTTTGATTCACATAATGGGATTTCATTAACAAAATTAAATAGCGATTATTCCATTAATGAAACAATTTTGGACATAAAGGTCTTTTAAAAAAAATCAAGGGTGTGCATTAATGAACAAGAGTGTTATATCTATGATATTATTATATGCTTCTTTTTAACACCTATAAGAAATTGGCTTTTTAGAAACTAGTTAAACAATAATGTGGCCAAAATGATTCCCAAGCAGTTTGGCAATAAAAATATTTAATTTCACCATTTTTGACCATTTAAAACTGCAAACCAATATGCAACCTTCTAAACATACACTGATTTTTAACATTTTGGCTCAGAAACCTGACGAAGTATTTGCTAGATGAGGAAAAAAAAGGAAAGAAAGGAGACAGTGCTATCGGATCAAAATTCTTAAAAAGAGCCTTCTGAGTTGACTACAGAAAATCTGGCATCACCGGTGATTGCCTAAATATGTTAAAGAGCTTAAGTACTTTTAGTATTAAACATTATGCACATATCAACCATCTGTATTGGCTGGGTGGGTAAAATATTTCTTTTTACAAGTGCAACCCACATCAAGCTATTATGTACACAGGGATTAAAAACAGTTTTAAAATACTAGAAGTAAAGGAGTATTTACAGAATAAAGCAAACCACTAGAGCAAAGGGAAACACAACCTTTAGCGTAAGAGCAAACCCTGGTGAAGGGGATCTAGAGGTCAGTGTGTTTGGCAGCACTGGCGGTGGAGTCTGTCAACCTTCCTGGACTGTTCAGAAGGAATTAGTACTTACACCCTGATCTTGTGCATGTTTACTTCAAAGCAAGCCCCACTGAATTAAAACGGACCTTGCTTTCAAGAAATTAGGACTGCATCCTTCATCTCGAATCTGCTTCAGAACATAATTTCTGCCTAGTAGTCACATATGCCCCAATCCTAGAAAAATACTTCAGTGAACACCACAACTTGAAACAAACTTTTGCACTCCTACAATTCATTTGAAAGCTAAGACACTGCCTTAATGTTCTCAGGAATTGAGATTGTACTGCAGTTTGAACATGAATTGTCTGACCATTTCTTGCAACTGCCACATAGTGAATAAGGGGCTTTTAAAATGCCTGCTCACCAGTACAAAGCTTAACACATTGCATTCTGTAATGAAAAGCAGACGATATAAAACCATTTCTGAAATTGATACATAAAAGAATCTTTACTTCTAGCTCCATGACCCAATTAACAATCTTTGCAAAGGGCAGACCAACTGACAGTTTGGAAAAAATGAACTTTGTCATTAGCTTGTGGACCTTGAACTGTGTTTTTTAACCTGCATTTTTCCAGGGTTGTGTCGGTCTTCTTAAGCATCCAAAAGGCTGCGCTCTTCCCAATGGCAGGAGTTTCTAATCACCTTTGTACTGAACTGGGAGGAATCAGATTTCTTTTATTTCTACTGTGGCAATCTCTATTGAAGTCTTTACTTGGGCTCTCTCTCTCTGAGCTGCTTCTCCTCAATCTGATCTGCCCTTTATTTTCATCACTCTCAGCTTCTGAGTCACTGAGTTCCACATCAGGGCAATAGCCATCATTGTCCTGGTAGGGGGTACTCCCCATCTGATATTCAAGAGTCTGCTTGCCCCATGAACGCTCTCTCATTGAAAGCCTTCTTGAGGGCTTTTCAAAGCACCTGAGATCTTCTGTGGTCCTCACTAAACTGTTGGTTGCTTCTTTGAAGGACCTGCTAAAATGTTCTATTGTAGATTTTCTAAAACTGCTCTGGCTAGTCAAGTGGGCAGAGAGCACAGATTGCTCATATGTCGTTTGACTAGAGCTATCTCGCTGAGTGACATCTCCAACTCTGTTCATTAAACCATTTGACTTGGCTAGTTTAGAGTTCTGATGTATTTTTCCATTCCCAATGGAGGACTGTCCGTGCAATGCAGCTTGAAGTGCTAATGGTTTGCCAGATGACTGTCCACGGTGGAAGTCTGATGCATGTGCAGGTCCAGAATCCTTTGCTTCATTCCTAGACTTCATAATCCCTCCCAGTAAGCCATTAATTCTGTTTTCATGCTGAAACTTTGAGTAGGACTTCATATTGACAAGTGCCTCCTTAGAAACTGGAATACCTTTTTTGCTATAAAGTATGGCATTGTTATCAAGAGAAAGGGGTTTGTTGCTACATTTCAGATTATTTTTGCAGTCTCCCAGTGTTGATTTCGGCATCTTTAGTTTCAAAGTTATTCTAGGAGGTGGATAAAACAGTGTGTTCTCTAGTGCATTTGTAAGAGAATGACCTAAGAAAGAGAATAAGAAGGTGCTAATTAGGAAAGAGGGATATTGTAGGAGCAAATTTCACTGTGCAAATTTATTCAATACATCCAGTAAGCAACTTGTACAAAGCAGTAACCTGCTTTATCACAGATTTATAATAATGTTTGCAATTCATACAGCATCTGGTTTTCCACATTTTGTTCGAAGTCTTAGCCTTTTTCATATTGCTATATAGTCCTTATATATTGATGCATTAAAGGCTCTATACCTCTTGAAAGCCAAAGAACACAAGAATACAAAATATATTGACGTGAGAAGAATGGCAAATATCAGATATCTTTGCATTCTACTTAGTAAACAGACTGTGAACTAGGAGCCACAAGAATCTTACTGATCTGGCTTGTAGCTTTCCTTCTGCCTGGTCCCACTCCCTCCACTAAACAATTATCACTGCCACACAAAAGCAGTAATAACTGTATCATCAGCACTGCCCATTCAGAGAAAACTGGCTGTCACCATTATAGGTATACCGCACAGGTAACTTATGACCAGTTTCTCAAAACTAACCTCATTTAAACAAGCTTTTAACAAGATCAGCATTACCAAAAAAAGTGAAGTGTAAAAGGCACTGGGTGGGGGAATACCACAACACAACACCGTTTATATCAGTTATGCATTTATTACCTGCAGCAATTTCCTGATTAATAAGTTGGACTTGCAAATTAAAAACTTGCTCATGTGCTTTGCTGTGAGAAAGTTTTAACTTCTCTCTTCTGCTTACCATGTAGCAAAGATTCCTCACCTAGAGGAGGAAACAACAAACAAACAAATAAATAAATATTCCACATGAAGTGAATGCATGTAATAGTTTTCACAGTACAACTTGGGATAATACTCAATTACTAACCACATAGCTTTTCAGAACCTGCTTATTTAAAATTTTTAAACTGGATTAGAAAACTTAAACTCAAATTTGGCTGCTTTGAGTTTCTCAAAGCAGAAACTCAAAATGTTCAAACCTAACAATTTAAAGGTGCATTCAACAATAATTTCTTCTTCTATGTTTAAGAGTCAAAAAAAGGAACAGTGCTACCGTAATAAGACAAAGACAACTATAAGGATCTCATTGCGGTTAAGTTTCACTTGCAATTCAGTCAGTTTTATGCAGATGTCATCATCCAGAAATCTGACCTATTTTTTTCCAAAATCCTTTATTGTACTAAATTGTTTTATCTTTCTCTCTATAATTGTTGACTGACTTTAATCTTCCACAAACAAATTGTTCTTCTAAGTAACAGTTTGGAAGATTAGATCAATCCTTTCCCTGTTATGAGATGTCATATTACTAAGGCCACTATATAATTTGGGACATATGAGTGGGAGGTTCCTGTTATGTGGTTGACTCTTTCCTGATTCTCAGTAAATGAAGAGTCAATAGCCCCTGTTGCTACATGCTTTCATGCTTTACCCAAAGCATGAAAGCGAACTTCCAGCACTAGCATGGTAAATTCCGTCTGATTCTGGATTGTTAGCATTGTTGTAAAGCAAGGGGACAACTCATGGTGGGCCTTCAAAAAAGACAGTATGATGATCACTAGAGAAGAGATCACAAGAGAAGGCAGCCATGCTTTCTTTCTCCACACAGTTTCAGTAGGACAACATGGAAGGCTTATGGATGATCTTGGGGTCTTTTGAAATGGAATTGGAAGGGAAGGGAATGGGGGGGGGGAAAGAAAAAAAAACGCAGAAAGAAGAGAAAACGGAGTACATAAAAGAAAAAAGAAGCAGATAACTTACAGGAGGACTTCCAAAAAAAGAAAAGATTGAAAATATAGGATAATAGAAAATAGCCAAATTGGTTTGATCTCAGCAATTGCTCTAACATTCTGAAAGAAGTCCAACCGAAGCGGCGGCAAAGAGGAACTGAGAGGACTTTTGGAGGGCGGAGCATGCGCTCCACGGGGGAATGTCCTACTAATCACATATCTTTAAGCTCTAGAAACGTCCGAGACGTCCTGCACAGGTCCTGCACAGGCACAGAACAACCCATTTGTCTGCATTCAGAGGCCACAACGAAGTATCTTATTTCTTCTCAGCTTATTGCTTTTTCCCTTTCATTCTTCTATCAGTTCCCTCGACAGCTCTTCTGTCCCACCCACACCCAGCTTCCTGCTGCACTAATCTCCCGTTAGAGCAGCATCCTTCCCACTTCCCTCCTTACCCTTTCCAGATCCTGCCTCAAGTGCATGAACATCCTCATTCGAGTATGAATGCTATCCTCTTTTGGCTGAACCAAGCCATTTTCTTCATCCTCCTTGGGAGGAAATAACGGTTTATTAAAATTACTTTTCCGTTTTAGTTTCCAGTAATTATAGATCAAGTCCACAGTGAGCTTAGGCAGGCCCAGTTCTGCAGCAACATCATCTATCCTCACTAGTGAGTAGAACTCCTCCTCCAGTTCCCGGAGCTTCTGAGCACGCAAACTGGTTTTTTCACTTTCAGTATGCTTCTGTTCTACTATACTCTTAAGGTTGTCATCTGCACCAGGCATCAGGTTTTGTTTTGTTTTGCTATGCTTCAGACAGTAGGACTTAAACTTGACTTCATCGCCATCATCCAGAATTGTTTTCATCTCTAGGCTATGCTCAAAGGCACATGTGACATGAAAGGCAGTGATGCAGCTCTTCACAGAGCACTGTTGAGAGATGAAAACCACCATCAGTCATAACTAGCACCAGCCAGCAGAAAATTAAAGGAATCACATTTCATTGTTATATGTGTATACACAATTTCACATTCAGGACATGTTGCTTCATTTAAAGTGTGTTATTCACAAGCTGAGAAATCCAAATGGAAACTTTCAGACAAGATCAAGGCAACTTTATTTCAGAAAAGTTCTTGAGAACCTGTTTATAAAATGTAACAGAATAGTTGAAACATTTATATTTTATTTTTATAAGAGGCACATCAACGATTTCAAGAGAAAAAAAAATACAGTTAAATACAGTAACTCCTAGACTGAAAACACAGGATAGTCAATAAAAAGACATCCTGCGTTAAACCACAGTACTACAATCCCAACAAAGCATTTAACAGATGAGAAATGCTTGGTTAATGGCAGCCAATCAAGCTCAGCAATCTAACGCAACTGCCTTTACATGAAAAACCTTTAACAAAAGCTAAGGCGCTGTGTACCAACTCAGTGGCAGGACTAGTGTAGTCCTGGGTTGAGAAACAACTCATTAAAAATTAATTTACTGTGTCAATTTTTACAACCAAGTTTTAAATTAATTAGAATAAAAGAAGACAGTTCTAAATGGCATTGATTTAACCAATCTTAACCCAGTGTCCATTTTTAATGAATGTGAACATTCAAACTCAGTTTGTATGTACTTCAGTTAAAAGAAATGACTATTGATAAATACCTAGACAAGTTTGTTCAATGATCACTTTCTTTCAGTGAATACCAAGAGCCTCATGGCACAGTGGTTGGTTAAACTGCAGTACTGTAGCCAAGATTCTGCTCACGACCTGATCCTGATAGGCACAGGTACCCAGCTGAAGGCTGACTCAACCTTCCGTCCTTCTGAGGTCAGTAAAATGAGCACACAGCATAATTAAACTGTAAATAGTGCTTTAAGTGCTATGGGGTGGTGTATAAACAACACGTTGCGCTTTTACTATTAAGGGCTATCTACCAGCAGGGTACTGCTGGGAGCAAAGCAGTTGCTACATCTGTCTTCCATTCAGCACATAATCAGGCCATTTTTCTTCTGGATGTGTTTGTGATACAGTGGTGCCTCGCTTAACTATTACCTCGTTAAATGACAAATCCGCATTACGATGGGTTTTTTGTGATTGCTATTGTAATCGCAAAACGCTGTTCCTATGGGGAAAATTCGCTTCATGACGATTGGTTCCCTGCTTCGGGAACCGATTCTTCGCATTACAATGATTTTCAAACAGCTGACTGGCGGGTTGCAAAATGGCCGCCCGCTGTGCAAAATAGCTCCCCGCTGTTTTTAGGACGGATTCCTTGCTATACAGGCATCAGAAAATGCACAGGTTTCGCCCAATTGAATGGCCATCCTATGGAGGATCTTCGCTGCACAGGTTTCGCCCACTGGAATGCATTGAATGGTTTTCAATGCGTTTCAATGGTTTTTTAAATTTCACTTGACGACGATTTCACTTAACAGCGATTTGAATGGAACGGATTATCGTCGTCAAGCAAGGCACCACTGTAGTGCAATTTCTACTCTACAACCTCAATGATGAAAATAATTTCTACTCTGCAACCTCAATGATGAAAACATAGACTCAATACTTACCTGAATACAAGCACCAGTTTTCAATTTGCATAAACTGCAAACTAAAGCCCATCTACTTGGTGGGATGTGGGACACCTTTGTAATTGGTTCCATCCTTTCTGGGCAAGCAATGCTTACCTACAAACAAAACATGACATGAGCTACTCTTGTGGATATCACCAGAAACAGCTATCCTATCATTCCAGTTCCATGTCTTGTAGAACAGACAAGCAGGACTATGCTAAGCTGTTGGGGAACTGGGATAACTGCATCAACTGTTTTGCTAATAATCCTCAGCACACAGAAAAACAAAGGCTCTTCTATTTAAAATGAGAGTCAGAGAAAAATGTAAATTCATGTCTTATTCCTAGCAATATAGAAACGAAGAAAACACTGACTGATATCCAGCAGTAAATCGCAACTAGAGTAGGCCCACTGAACCAGTGGGGATTTGGTGAGTCAACTCCTCCATAAATTCCATGGATTAATGGGTCTACTCTATTTGTGATTTACTACTGGATTTCAGCTGCTAGATATTTAGCATGAATTTTTCACTTCTGGCGTCATATAAATGGAGCAAATCAAAAATAAACTAAACTTCTCCACTGCTTTGGAAAGCAGCCCTGTGACCTACATGCAATGCTAGACTACATCCACCACCACCTCACAGCTAAACATCAAACAGAATACAGGCTGAATACATTTTAAAAGGCAGCCATCTCCTCCTCAACTGGTAAGAAAGGAAGTGAATTGTTATCTAATTGCTGGCAGAATGTAGTAGTATCAGCAGGAGGAGAGACAGAAAGCCAGGTCTCATTATACCTCCCCTTTCTGGGCAACAGAAGGAATTAACCCATCCTTTGAGGGAAGCCTCCTCACAACAAATTGAGTAGTTCAAGCTTTATGCATCACATACGCCTCAAAACAACAGCATACAGCAATAGAAAGTCCACAGACTCCTTTAACCACATATCATATAATCTAGGGACGGCTAGCTCTTGCACTCTTGGGTGTCATCTGATTCTCCAGACCTTGAGGGGGGATGCCCATGAGACAATCTGATTCCTCCCAAACTGCCACACATATCTGTGTCACAGGTTGTTTCCCCACCTCCTTAGAAACAGGCTGACCTAAGAAGCACTGTCACCATGATATGGAGTATATTAATTAGTGCCACAGGACCATGGTATAGGATAGTACTGGTATTGTAAGTTACTCATACCTCTGGAATCCAGAGAGCACAACTCACATGGGCCCACTTGGTGCCCGTTCTTGTAGCTTTCATAGCCCCGCCTCTCTTTGGACACAACAGACACTGAGGGTGTATACCTAAAACACAAGTACGGCACAACCAGCTCCCTTCAGGAACCTTTAGGATACCATAGCATGCCTGAAAACAAAAGCAAATGGTGACTGCATGAGTTCTTAAGCATGGTGACACATCACTTGAGTCTGTATCAATACATCAATACCACCTACAATTTACTTTTAAACTTTACAACTTAAACTGAGTTTGGAAGAGTTCTGCCTTTTTTTTTAGCAGTATTAACTACTATGTTGGATTTGGTTTTTTAACTGTACAGCCTAAATCTATTTAGGAAGAGTTCTGCTCTTTCCCAGCTGTCTGCAACAGAAGCAATATGAAATCAACATTTTCCTACGAAAAAGAAAAGCTATGTGCTGACCAAAATCTTGTTGCACAGCATAGTAAGGTGCAACTAGAATAGGCCCGCTGAATGAATGGAACTTATGGAGGAACCGACTCACCAAATCCCCACTGATTCAACAGGCCTACTCTAGTTCCAGCTTACTAGGCCAGGCAACAGGAATCCAACCACTGTTTATTAATAATAAAATACAAAGAACTTTTCAGAGAAAGTGTAGAAGCCAGGTATCCTGCTTGGAGGATTGTAGGCTGTGGGATCACAGCCTGTGTCTTCTGACTCTCTCTGTAGTAACATCATAAAAGCAATGATTTTTTTTCCAAGCCAGTGACGTGTGTGTGTGTGTGTGTGTTTTTCATGCTGTGGGATCACAGCCTGTGTCTTCTGACCCTCTCTGTAGTAACATCATAAAAGCAATGCGTGTGCATGTGTGCGCGTGCGCGTGTGTGTGTGTGCGCGCGCGCTGGAAAAATGTCATTCTCATGCCACTGGTACTTAATACTAGAACAGACTGACCTAGAAAGGTGATCTTAGTCTCACTAAAACTTCAGAAGGAATACTCCATAATAGTTCTTTCAGAGCTTTTCCCCATCAATCCACTAGAGGGCACTCTTGTCTTGGAAGAAGTTCAGAAAAACAACTTTTTTTCTTTGTAACACCCTTCTTTGTACAGTACTCAATTTCTCCTGTTGTCACTGTCAATAACTAGAGTCACCTTACAAAACTGAAAATCATTTTACTGTCTGTTCCATTCTGTAGTCATTGTTAGAAGGATTTTAAATAAAGATAAACATTTTGTGAAGATTCTATTCACTATCAAGGAAGACATTTCAATTACAAAGATATTGCAGCCCTTTCAAAGCTCTGCTCACACTAACCTGATGCACACAGATGTTACATTTGTCACAAAACACCATGTCATTCCCATCTTCACTGTCAGGGGACCGACACACATCACAAATTACATCTTCATCATATTCTATACCGAGCCCTTCCTCTGTCTCAATGGCGTGGTTCATGTTCTCATGACAGTGACGTTCCAGGACTTCCACCATTTTCTCCATCGTGTTCTCATCAAGCTGCCCACATCCTGTAAAGAAATTGAAGAAGAAATAATTTGCTTAACACTTGGTGGCCACTGCAAAGAGGGAGGGAAGGAAGGACTTTAACAATTCCCCCTCCCCCAAATGAAACATGTCCATGTCCATTCTAATTAACTTTGATTAGGCTTACAGTGGGGTCTCGACTTGCGAACTTAATCCGTATTGGAAGGCAGTTCTCAGGTCGAAAAGTTCTTAAGTCGAATCTGCATTTCCCATAGGAATGCACTGAAAACCATTTAATCCGTATCTGCTCTTTTCGTCCATAGAAACTAATGGGAAGCTGCTATTCCGCCTTCTGCCACCAGAGGGGGATATTTTTTCTTTTTTCCTTTTAACCTAAGATGACTTAGCTTTTAAAAAAGAAAAAAAAAAAGAGTTCGTAACTCTAATCTAAGTTCGTAAGTCAAGTCCATATATTCCTATGAGAGCGGTTCGTAAGTCGAAACGTTCGTATGTCGAGCCGTTCGTAAGTTGAGACCTCACTGTACTAAACTTTCATTCCCAGGTTTTAAATATTTGATATCTAAGATAGGTTGAAATGTATGTAAAAAGAAATGGGGCAAAATCCTCTTGCATAAATTCCCAATAGCAGAAGCTGGATGATATCATCTGGCCCAATAAAATTTTGTTCACATTAACTGAAAGCTTCCTATCTCCCACTTCAGGTTCCAAGGCTCCCTATACCCCCCCCTTCTGCCCTTTTAATAGTTTTTTTTTAAAAATCCTGTGAATAGTTTTAAAAAGATCACTGCTGCTGGAATTGGGACCACTAGTGGCAATCCAGCAAAGATTTTTGATTATTAGAGGCGTCAACCTCCAGTCTTTATGCTTCCAAAGGCTTTCCTTAGTTTGAGTTCTACCTATGCCATTGAGAGAGTGGTTTAAGGACATTATTATCTCTTACTTGACTAGTGGCCCATCCACCTTCATTCAATTCTTCAATTAAATTTGCCGCCACCACGTAACTCATTTACCATTCAAATTAGTCTTAATACTAAGATTTTGAAGAATCTGCCGAAGTCAGGAATAATTGATTTTAGGAGTCAACTATCTCTTCTCTCATTTTTACATTTCCAAAGAATCAAAGTTGATATCTTCCTCAAGAACCTAGTTTCTTTGAGATATGTGTGTGTGTGTGTGTGTGTGTGTGTGTGAGAGAGAGAGAGCGAGAGAGAGAGAGAGAGAGAGAGAGAGAGAGAGAGAGAGAGAGAGAGAGAGAATGTGTAAAAACTGGTGAAGACTTCAAAAATATGGTTGTTGTAGGTTTTTCAGGCTCTCTGGCTGTGTTCTTGTTCACCTCAAGAACACAGCCAGACAGCTTGAAAAACCTACAACGACCATCGGATCCCGGCCATGAAAGCCTTTGAGAATACTTCAAAAATAATTAAATGCAGTTAGTTGTATCTAAATAGCTACTGCAGAAGGCTCCTCAAACACTGATCAGTTTTTTTAAATAATCCATCTCTTCATATTTCCAACTGAAGTTTCAACCTACTGTATTTTCAACTGTTATTTTTATATTCTCACCCATTTCAGCAAGCTCCTCATTGACTTCCTGAAGCCAGAAGATGTCCATGTCATCCAAGTCATAACGACACATTGATTCTGCCAGTTCCAGAATGTTGATATAGCCAGGTTCTGTGGGCTCTTGACTTGAACAACGGATGTACTTTCTAGGCCGTGTATATAGCACTTGCTTCACTTTTTCTGCTACAACTCTAAAAGACAAAATATTAAAAGTGAGTTGCCGGGTCCTCCAGTCAAAGAACATTTCTACAGGCTGGGAGACCAGGTTATTTTGTGCACCTAATTTATCTGGCTGAATAGTATGCAGCTCCTTGCTCCTCCCACGGCAATGCCCAAAATTGAAGGAACTCCCAAACACTTTTCCCAAGAGCCTAGATGATCAGATGTGGAGGGACATTGTCATTGGCTTCAGAAATGGTGGTTTTCGAATGATTTACTGTATTTGCTGGTGTATAAGACTACTTTTTTGCCCTGAAAAACATGCCTCCAAGTGGGGGGGGTCGTCTTATACGCCGGGTGCACTTCATTTGTGATAGACATAGCTGCCCATAGTGGCCCTCCGATGCTCGCCCGGGGCCCATAGTAGCCTCCCGATGCCTGCCCACCTCATTCTACATACCGTCCAGTATCGCGTGGTATCCAGCGCAGCCGTGGCAAGCATCAGCAGTGAGACGGGGGTACCAGCCTTTTCGACGTGACCGGCCCGTTCTGCTCAGCAGGAAGCAGCGGTGCTCCACCCTGCCCCTTGTCTATGCAGAGCTCACACATGGACACTTGCACACTAGTGCTGGTCACAGGGAGATGCAGGGTTGGGCTGGAGGCGCTGCGACCGCGCTGCGATGCAGGGGTGGGCCGGAGGTGCTGCGGCCACGCTGCGGCCACACAATAGTGACAATGAATAGCACCTTTTATTTGCGGAAGAGGGGGTAGTCTTATAAGGCGAGTATATAACAAACTCTATATTTTGAGTGGAAATGTTGGGGGTCGTCTTATACGCCCAGTCGTCTTATACGCCAGCAAATACAGTAGGGGAAATAACAGAGTTAGATAAACATGACTAGTTCAGGTAAGAAAAGGTTTTGTGATTGGTCCTGGTGGTCTGCCTTACTAAGGATCCCTTCAGAAGACCACTGACATTCATTTGGCAGCCATGGATGGCTAATGAATTTAGCTCAATATTAATAAGCTTATTTCATTCAACTAAACATGTAAAACTAGATTTCTACTCTGGATCTTATACGCCCTATTTTTCCGTATATAAGACTATACTTTTGTCTAAAATCTTTAGACTAAAAATTGAGAGTTGTCTTATACACGGAAGTAAGCTGAGGAGAGAACAAAAACAAGTAGAAGGGAAAGCAGGAATCAAAGCAATCCTGCAACGCTTCAATCCCTTTCCCCCTACACTTGCTAAGCCCCACTTAGATTTCTTAATTTTGGATTAGAAAAGTGGAGGGCGCCTTATATATGGGGGTGTCTTATGCACGGAAAATACGGTATTTCTTGTGCCAAAATACAACTATCAACAAAGACACTTACAGTATTTAAACCTACTTCTTTTCTGATCTCTACTTTAAACCATGTTTTATCATAAATATATTTTGTTTAAACATCTACCCCATCTCCCGCCACAAAGATTCTGGGAAATTGACCAAACATACAGATATGGGATTTCAGATTTGTCAGCAGTTTGCCTTTTTAATGAGAATATGAATACAACAAAGAAAATTTGATTATACTGAACTCTGCAAACACATCTTTTTAAAAGTCTCATGTTCAGCCTCTTTATGAACATGAGTATTTATTTTATTTACAAGCTGCATCCTGCACCTGCTCTTATAGTAAACAAATCTGTAAATAACAATAATCATCCGAGACACAAAGGCCTTAACTGGCTGTCCTCTTATGCAAGCAAGAAGCTGACATTCTCCCAGGAGTAATAATCAATTTGTAACATTTGAGCTTCTGTGTTCATACCTTTTAATTCTTGTCATCATCTGCATACCAACTAAACTATACATGTTACATATTCAACAGAAGAAGAAATTAGTACAGTAAATCGGAAATTACACTCATTCTCACAGAACAAGTTGTTTGCGTGGTCATTTTAGTGTGAAGCAGACAAGCATGTAAACTAGGTGCAGGGCAAACTAAACCTGTTTCATTACAGTTACCGGAGTGAAGGCTGTGGAATGGTGTCTGGACTGGCTGGGACTTGGACACCTTTCTCCCATTCTTGTTTCCATGTATCCGCAAAGAGGTAATATTCATCTGGGTTAATATGATGAGAATCCGGCAGCTTCATGGCACTAATAAGATCCTTTCGAAACACCTGTGGCCAGAGGAAAAGGCCACAATCATGCTTGTGGACAAGGACAACAGTCCAAGAATTTCCAATCCTTCGCGTATTTTGTTTCCATCAACAACAGAAGCCCTATTGTCCTCCATGTGCCACTGATAACTTAAGAGGCCAAATTAAGTAGTCATTGGAAGCACACCGATCAGACCAGCCCACTCCTGCAAAGAACACTGAATACAACACACCGCTCTTGCCAAGTTATCTGCTTCCCCAAACCCATCATAGTCCTTAAATACTCACATTCATGGGCTGCTATATCTGTATCAAATGGGCAGAGTACTGTGTTTTATTGTTTCTTTTGCCACTGCTAATAAGGTAAAGCATGAACAAAGAGCCCCCTCAACAAATGAATGCAAGATCTCCCAATACCCTTTATTACCAACACCACTCAGAAAGCTGTGTCAACCTCCACGTTTGGGAGACCCAGAATCCAAGCAATTGCAAGGGACCAAGGAAGGGCAAGGAGATCTGTTCATCACCAAGGGATAGAGGAGGAGGGAAATGGTCACAAAGAATCTCTCTCTCAAATGTAACATTCTATCTTGTATCTGCTTTGGAAGCTTGGAACCTCTTCCCTTTAAATCCTGTCATCATTTCTAAGCTGCGAGTGAAAAGAGTTAATCATTTTAGCAGTAAGGAAATAAAAGGTTATTTTCTTACTAGTCAAGTTAGGAACACTCTCAAAGATTTCCATGAAGGAAACTGACTGCTAACATCAGACGTCACAGCAAGCTCAAAGAGATTACATTTTAACACAACAGCTTAAAGGCAAATGTGACACCTCTCCATCATGGGTGTCCTACTGTCATTCACAATTCATCTCTCTGCACAACTAATCCTAATCACACTAGGCATTCAGCAAGTACTTCTACATTTTGGGGTGTGGGAGCCCATGAGCATTTATGCTGAACTTGAAAATTAAGGGTTACATAAATACAAGTTTCCTGGCAATTTGCTCAAGTACCTTAACACTGTCACAGAACAGAAGGGGCAAATGAAACACATTGGCTATGATTTAAAGCAGCTACTTTGGAACACCAATTCTGAGGGTCAGATGAGCCTTCCAACTGGTGTGGGATGCGGTACAAGGAACTATGCTGTACAAACAGAAATGTTACCTTGTTTGAGCAAATCTGGATCTAAACCAATGAAAACTATCACCCAAAACCTGGTGAAATGAAAACACCTAAACATAGTTCTTCAAGACCTCTTCCATATAAGATTTTATGCTGCAATGTTTTTGATTAGAAAAAAAAAAGATTTAGGACTTAAGGGGATGGTGGAGGGCATTTTCACTGAAGATATAGCACAATGTGGAAAAGAATACCCCTTATACACATGTACACTATGCAGTTCCAAATAAAACCAGATACACTAAAACCACAAAAACATTTAATCATCTTAGAACTGCAGAGGATAAAACCAGATACACTAAAACCACAAAAAACATTTAATCATCTTAGAACTGCAAAGCTGTTAGACACCCTATGGATCATTGAGCCCAGCCTGTGTTAAGGAGGCAAAATTAGGAATTCAACTCCCGAACTCTGGCTCCACAGACAGATACCTAAACCACTGAGCTATCCAGCAATTCTGTATTAGCTAGATTGGCCCTTCATATTGTTAAGAACCCATGAGTTGTTCCTCCCTAGCCATTCAAAGTTCACCTATGAAAGAAACTGGAACTGACCTAACCTATTTCCAACTTCAGATTAAATTCCGGGATTGGAGAAAAAAGTGCATTTATAGTGCATATACACCACGGGATATGGTGGCACTGTGGGTTAAACTGCAGAAGCCCTCTGTGCTGCAAGGGTGGAAGACCAACCGTCGTAAGATCGAATCCACGCAACAGAGTGAGCTCCCGTTGCTTGTCCCAGCTCCTGCCAACCTAGCAGTTCGAAAGCATGTAAAAATGTGAGTAGATAAATAGGTACCACCATGGTGGGGAGGTAACAGTGTTCTGTGTCTAGTCACGCTGGCCATGTGACCATGGAAACTGTCTACGGACAAATGTTGGCTCTATGGCTTGGAAACGTGGATGAGCACCACCCCCTAGAGTCAGACACAACTGGACTAAATGTCAAGGGGATCCTTTACCTTTACCTATACTTTCCTAAGATATTGACCTTTTAATCTTTCAATGTTTCTTTGTTTTTTGGTACTTACATATATGAACTGAGAATTTTAAAAGGATCTGTTAAAGTGGTTCTTAACGTGGGCGATAATGCCCCCCAGGGGGTGATTTCATTTTTCAGGGGGGCGGTAGAACGAAAAGGGGCGGCGTGGGGGCGCTGGAGCAAAAGGGGGCGGTAGGGGGGCGCTGGAGCAAGCCAAACCTGTGAAGATGGCTGCAGCCTTTTTACAGTGTGCATGAATATATATTTTCCTCCAATTTTAATTTAGTTTCAGACTTTTTGTCTTGAAATTTTTAGTTCCTGCATTTTTATGCCCTTTTAATATTTCTTTTTGCGTCTTAAAATTCACTTGCAACTAAATCATTAAATGTTACTTTTTGAGGGGCATTTCATTTTCTTGGAATTTAATTTTGTTTTCAGGGGTCATTGGATTTAAGTGTCTTAAATAAATAAATAAAT